CGTTTCCGTCCCAATTCTAGCCACCGTCGTCTCCCTCCACCTCATCGCCTTTGTTCTTGCCGTCGGCGCCGAACGCCGTCGTAGTAAAGTAATCGTCTTCTGTTCTTTCTTCTTTTTTTTTTTGGTACTGATTCGCATGCTATGAAGTAGTGAAACCTTACTACTGTTCGTGTTCTCGGTTTTTCCAGGCCAAAATCGTGCCCGATGAGTACGACGACCGGACCTTCTGCGTTTACGACACCGATGCGTCGACGGTGTACGGTCTGGCGGCTTTTGCTTTGTTGCTGGTCAGCCAGGTGGTGGTTCACGGTGTCACCAGATGCCTCTGTTTCGGCAAAGGGCTTGTCACTGGTTGCTCCACCACTTGCGCCACTTTCTTCTTCATTTTCTCCTGGTAAATCTCATTAATTTCTATTTCTATTTTCTTCAATCCTTTTTCGACGCTTCAAAGTCCATGTTCCTTATCCCCTATTTCTCTCTCTATCTTTCATTTTCGCCAGTTCCATATCTGTAAACTGATCAACATCTATGCTTCTCTATCACATATTAGAGTCAATTAGGGCCCAATAGAGTAGTACAGTCAATAATTTATTAGTAAAAAATCGTTCGATTTATCTTACGCCGTGCGATTTGTACAAATTCTTTCTTAACCTATAAGCTGTTGCGAAAGTAGTAGTATATATTTGTCTTTTAACGTCTTTTTATTCATTGTGAAAGTCTAGTTTTTAATCATTATCATTATAACTAGCTATATAGAAGCTGAAGGGAAATTTCAATTGCTTTATTTATAGAAAGAAAGAAACTAGAGGGTGAGTACTTGAAGGTACTAAACTGAGCTCTGTCAAAGCATGTATAGTATGCGCCTGTAAAAACAAAGTGATGGGAACAGAGATTAATATTACCGTCAACCAATAACGGATTAGCTTTTTGGGAGTAATTTTGCAGAGTTAGATGTAAGAAGTAAGTGAGGTTTTGTTTTGACTTGTGTGAAAGTATTTACAAGCAACTGAAACAAACAACCCCTAAGCGTAGTACCGACATATTGAGATTAGATCTGAGAGTCATCTATTGATGTTGGTATATTGCTGTCAACTCTTGGGTATAGAAGCTGAAGGGTAATTTCATATTAGGTTTATCTAGAGGGGAAAATGCAAAGTAGTGGGATCTTTCAAACTAGTGGATGGAAATCAGTTAGCTCGTTTGTGTTTGCAAACTAGTAGGTGTTGATGTAGCGTTGGATAGAAATGGAATGCGAAAATTGAGATGATCTTTTGAATGGAAATATCAGGATTACATTTCTGGGAGCAGAGGCATGTTTGATAGCAGGATCAGCAAGGAACGCATACCACACAAAGTACCGAGGCATCTTCGGCCAAAACAACTTATCTTGTGCAACTCTTCGCAAAGGAGTGTTTGCAGCTGGTGCTGCCTTGACATTATTGTCTTTGTTGGCTTCCATTGTGTACTACTGCACTCACGCCAGGGCTGATACTGGTGGCTGGGAGAAGCACCGGAATGAAGGAGTTGGATTGGCCACTTCCAATTTCAACCATCCCCAACAAGGTGGAGAGTTTGAAAAGGCCTGAAATGAAATATATGGCATGGATTGGTCTTACGCAATTTTGGTGGCTATGGGAGGATGTATAATGTATTATTATGGGTACTGCTGCAAACAAGATATATATATATAGATGGTATATTATGGTTGTTCTTACTTTCCTGCTCTGGTTATAATTAATGTTAGTTTTCAAAAGTATGAGCTATGTTATCTTCATTTGCATCTTAAAGTTCTCATTCTAATGTTATAGTTTGAGAGCTTGCTTCTCAGATTATTGCACTTTGTTTCATTAGTGACTTGTGATTGCTGGTTGCGTTGCTTGGGGATACTGATGGCTGATGAATAATTAGGATCAAGCCTGCAATTTTGAAGCCAAAGTTCTCTTCTGAGGCTCAGAATAAACCAACCATATTTATTAATATGCATATCTATGAAGTCACACAATATTAATTCCTGCTGTGATCACCAAACTAACCACCACCAATTATGTCATATCTGTGAAGCCACACAATATTAATGCTGTGACACTGCCATTTCACTCATGACATTAAATTGCGTGCTTTGTATTGTCAGTCTTGTGATTTTAATTAGGGTGGACGTTGGTTTGGATGAAGTCTTAAATGAGTCATATTCATCAATAACAATATTCTTATATTTTTCAGGGACTAATTATTGAGAAAATTAATTAATTTGTATTATAATTTCACCTGATTTTTAATTAGGATTTGACAATTTTTTCTTCTTATTAGATCCTGACAATTTCTTTGATTATAGCCGTAGTCCTATACTTATAATATGCTGATTGGGCTCATGCGAACGCCGACTAAGGTGCGTTGTAGGTTTTTAATAGTAAAATGATTGGATAATTCAATTATTACTGACATAAAAAATAAATCATTCTGCTCATAATTGTTTCCTTACAGTTGTATATATTTTGTAATATGGCTTATTTTTATTTAATTTATATTCATATGCAAAAAAATAATTCAAAGTGTATATAAAGTGAAAGTTACGCCGTTAATGTTATTTTTGTACAAATTAATAAATTATGATTATAGAGACTAATATGTTAAAATATAATTAAAAAACTGTAAGGATGCAATGAAAAAATTGTAAAATCTTAAAAAAATGATGAAATTATGTAGACTTGCTTATTAATTTTGATTAATTATTTCTTTGCAATTATATAATTTCAAAATTAATAATTAATTATTTTGATTTATGCAAGGAATTTTCATTTTTGATATGTAGATTAAAATGGAAAAGCATGTAGTATGTAGAGGAATATCAAAATATTTCGGTAAAAGAGGAACTAAGAAATCATTAAATTTATTTTCTTTATTAACAGTAAATTTTATTAAAAAAATAATATTTAACATATTCATTAATTATTTATAATTAATTGACATTCTTCTAATCAATGCTTATGAACTGGATAAAATACCCGTCAAAGACTATCCAACCAAATCGGTTTTCCTTAAGCAGGCAGATTTGGTGATGCGCCTAATGAAGGTCAGACTCGGTTATCAGTATCTCTCTCCCAGTTTCAGAATTAAATTTAACCCTACTAAGCCCATAAATCTTGACCAAATTGATTTCTTTTTTCCCAACGCATAGATGTTCTCTTGTTGAGGATAATTCTATTAGAAGCAATATTAGACACTAAATGTGAGCCCTTCTTTCAGTAGGAATTTAAATTTTAGTTTACCACATTGTGAGAGATTTACTCCTTCTATTAGACATAGTCCCGTTTTTTACCAAATCAAAATTTTAATAGAATTCAGTAATCTTAAGCCCTGCTTGTTATCACGATTGAGATCATTTATAAAAGCGTTTTATGTAAGTCGAGACAAAACTCCTCTCACATCCTTACCTTATATTCTGTAAATCACAAAAGTCACTTATAAGTTATTCCAAATGGGTCCTAATATGTTAGCCAAAACTGAAAAAGTAAAGTTGAAGAGTCAGTTAAATCTTAATATTATTATGCTCCCTCATATCTTTAAGACGTCATCTAAAAGATTTTTGTGGTCTCAAATATAAGTCGATTTGTAAAAAGTTAATAGCCTTTTCTCAGGTAAAAAAAATAGTCTTAAATTTTTTCCACAAATGCCTTTAATCAGAATGAACAACAAGAAAATAAATCAGAAAAAGATGCAGGAAAAGAACTAAGAATTTTAACACCTGTTCAAGAGAATAACTAAGAAATATCATATACTAAAGGATTGGAGCAACTTGAGAAATAATAAAAGGACCCACATTTAGAGAGTGGCCAGTTCAATTTTTGTTAGCTGAAAGGAGGAAATCATAATTATTTAAATACAAATAAAAATAATGTCAGCTTGAAAGCATAGATGAAACCAATACATACTTTTTCCTTTTCTTCTTTTTTTTTTCTTTTAAAATAATTGCGATACCTTGCACATCTGAATCACTCAACAAGCATATGACATAAGTGTAGAGCTGAGAATGCGGGCTGGCGGTGCGGATACGGGCCAGCCCGCAGCGGTGCGGGCCAAAAGCGGTGCGGGCTGAAGTAGCCCGCACTTTGGCGGGTTGGCATTTTGCCAGCCCGAGCCCGCCAAGGCGGGCTGGCGGGCTAGCCCGCCGGCCCGCCGGCCCGCCTAACTTTTTTTTTTTTTAAAAAATTATTACTTGTATAAGTTTGGACTTAGTTTGTAATGTTAAAATTGGATTTGGAGTTTTAAACTTGAGTAATGAATTATAATAAAACAATGTGAGGATTAATTTATAATTTGAGAAGATATTTTAGAAAAACTAACACATATTTTTTTCTAAATAATTAATTTGACTATTTTTCTTATCCAAATTAATTAAGTAGATCTTTTATGTATGTATTACATATGCAATTACATGGATGAGAAGATGTAAATATGAAATTTGGGGGTTAAAATCCTCCAATTATGTTGTATAACATATTAGAAATTATATAAAAATTAAAATTAAAAAAAAAAAAAAAAAGCGGGCTAGCCCGCGACGGAGCGGGCTGAAAACGGTGCGGGCTGGAGTAGCCCGCACCTTGGCGGGCTGGCATTTTGCCAACCCGAGCCCGCCATTTTTGGCGGGTTGGCGGGCTGGGCCCGCGGGCCCAGCCCGTATTACCAGCTCTACATAAGTGGGTATAATATACTTTTAGTAATTAAAAATGATTTTCATTAAGGAGTATCAATGTGGGTAAATGTATGAAGAGCACGTGAAACTAAAACTTGAAGGCCATGGCTAAGTCATTCCTTTCCTTCGTTATATAGAGTTTGTTTCTTTGCATCAAAGCTTAGACTTTACCATCTTTTGTTGTGTACATAACTATCTATACATATAGTCTTTATGATGGCCCCATGAATCACAATTAATTTTCACAAATAAATTGGTTAAGCAAAAAGCATAATCATCAACAGAGTTTCAGAGATCTGTTTTTGCAGCAATGGCAAGTAGTTCATATGAAGCTTCACGTCAAGGAAGGTTGTTTGGCCGTCAAAGGCCATTTCATGCCCTTCTTGGTGGAAGAAAGGGTCAGATATTTTCTAATTTTAATCTTCTTTTTATTCCTTCTTTTCTTTTTTGTGTGTTTTATATTTTCTGCTACAATCCACGTGGATAATTTTTGCAGCTTAATTAATTTGCAGAAAAAGAAATAAACTCTATTGAATCACACAAAAACTTTACAATGTAAAAAATTCCTACCCCATTCTTATTCATGGATGGCTTTTTTCAATGCAAGCATCTGATATCAGACATTATCATATTGAGTTTAAACGACATCTCTTTTTTATGGAGAATGTCTCTTTCTTTTTTGGCCATAAGTAGAGGTTCATGAGTTCAATTTGGAAACATCTCTACCAGAGAAAAGCTTCAAGGCTGACAATGGCTGAAAGTAAATTTGATAGTTGATATTGATTATATATATAAGACTTATTTCACATATTTATCAATTCTATTCAAATTAACTTTATTGACATTCTCTTAATAATAATTCAATAGGAGAGGAGGAGAGGAAATTAAAAAAGATGATTAGGGTGTTTTAGGGGGAAAAAAATCATATTAACTAATTTAATTAATATTCTTAATCTACTTAAATTAGTTAATTGCATCTCACACTAAGAACCATAGGAGTATATTATTATCATTTTTGTAAAAGTGTGTTTTCTTCTGATACTGTAGAACTGATTTTGCAGTTGCTGATATATTGATGTGGAAGGACAAGAAGCTATCGGCTGTGATCTTAGTTGGGATGTCCACTATTTGGCTTCTGCTTGAAGTGGTGGAATTCCATTTTATTACTTTGCTCTCTTACTTCCTCATTTTCAATATTCTCTTCTTCTTCCTCTGGTATAATTCTGCAGGACTTATCACTTGGTAATGTATAGCTCATCCTCATACTGGTGTTCATTTGTAGTTCTCTTATCAACAAGGACAAAAGTTTCAACAAGAAATTAACGGTAGTTGAATTGAGCAGAACAGAAAGAACTCAATTCTTTTTAAAGAAAATTAAAAATTTAACACTTGTCAATTAAAAAAGTCATATTTTAAAATTACTTCCGATTATACTTGGCGACACTTGAACATGATTATGATATATTGGTACTATATACCAGATAATTGTTTTTTTCCCCCAAAAAAATTGCCTATACTGCAAGTATATTTTTTTCGGTTTTCCAATAAAACTATAAGCTTGGAGTCAATCATGTGCTTGTTGGTTAGAAAAAAAGTAACCATATTTTTTTTTTTGGGGGAAAAATTGAAGTCCTATCCTCCTATAATCTCCATACAGCAGATTAATTAGTTGTATTGCAGGAGTCCTCCATGTATCTATGAAGCTGGAATATCAGAATCAACCTGGAGATACCTATTCAAGAGACTCAACTGGTTCATAAGGACATTTTTTGAGATTTCAACTGGGAAAGATCTGAAACTCTTATTCATGGTATTTAGAAACTCTCTTCAATTTCTCTCATAAATATTCTCTCCAATAACTTGTTAACTAACATCAAGTTCTTGAATTTCAGACACTCATTGGTCTCTGGATCTTGTCAGTTGTTGGGGCTTCCTTCACAGCTCTGAATCTATTTTATATCAGTAAGAATAACAAAAGATGCATTTATATCATGGTAAAGTCATTAAGCTTCTAACATAACCCTAATTGATCTGCTATGTATTCTTTTACGCAGCTTTCCTCTGCATGATGACCCTGCCAGTTATGTATGAGCAGTATGAATATGAAGTAAATTATCTAGCAAGCAAAGGCAACAGAGATTTGAGCAGATTGTTCAGGAAACTGGATTCTAAATTTCTCAGCAAGATTCCAAGGGGACCTGTGAAAGAAAAGAAATTCACATGATAAATATGTAAACAAATTTCTGAAACAAGGTTGATTTGCAAATAAAATGCTGTAACGATGTACATGCCAACGATGTCATTCTTGAAATCATTCAATAAAAGATGACAGAACAAATTTATCTACTCCTCCGGTCCTAATTATAAGACTCAATTGACTTATTTGAGGAGATTAAGGAAGTAAGTTAAGTTGGTTATTTATAATAAATAAGTGTTGTCATTCTTAAAATATCCTTGCTAATTAAGTATATTAGCTAAAACTATCATTATTAGAAGGATTATCTTGGAAAAAAATGCATAAATATAAGAGACAAAATGGATTGGGTCTTATAATTAGGACCAAATAAAAAATCAAATTGGATCTTATAATAAGGACCGGAGGAGTATTATAATATTAAAAAATACGTTAAGCACTATAATAAAATATTGGGTACAAAGATATATATGAACATTTTAAAACAGAACAAAAATGTCATTTCCATTAATTCTTCCAAATGCCCGTTACCTTTTATTTTTGTGGGTCCCACACAATGTCCCTATATTTGACTCAATACCAGCTCACCCTCCCCCTCCCCCCCAAAAAAAAAAAAAAAAAATGTGACCCCTTCCCTCCCAACATTGCTTTCCTCCTAACACTCTTTCTATCACCACTCTCTTCACACACACGCATACACACTCTCTCTCTATTTCTTTCTATCACCATCAAACAAGAAAATTTGAATTCATTATTTTCACAGTGCGTTGACAGATTCATTATTTCCTCTATCCGAATCCAAACTCATCAGGTCACCAGCAATTTGACCTTCCCAAATAAAGGTGTATAGGATACGATAAGAATGTGAAATAATAATGATGATGATGATGATAAATGAGAAGCTCGGTTCTCTGAGATATATGAGGGCATATGATGAATTTTTGGAATTTTCTTTTTTGTTTCTACTTCACAGAAGCTTATCTAAGTTTAGTTTAAGATTCGTTTTACAATGCTTATCGTGTTTGTTCCCCCTAATTGCCTACTGTCTTTATGGCATGCTGGAAGAGGTTTGCTCTAGTTAGCTCCACCATTGGCGGTGGCGCTGCCGCGCCATAGCCACCTCCAATGATCCTGAAACAAAGCAAAGTTTGCATTTTCCAGGTTGTATCCTTGCCATAAAAAAAGGAAAACTAACTGATTTTGAATACCTTGATATCTGTGATTCCCTCAGTGTTCAGAGCTCTATGGAGAGTTCTCATGACGGAGACCAAAAGCTTGACACAATGTTTCCATTAGACACTCTAACGGTGATGGAGATGCCACTTCTGGTGAAAGCTTGCAGGATTCGAGAACTCACATTAAAGATCTTAACACTGTGGATGGTTGTCTTAGGGAGTGTTTGGCAATTCTCAAAATCACTTTTGAAAAGCACTTTTCCGCAAAACTAAACAAATTCTTTCACATATTTACTTCATAAACTGTAAAAGCACTTTTAAAACCATGGTTTAGTTTCCATCCAAACACCTTCTTAATCATGAGAAAATTCACCACCGCTTATGATGATCAAAGGTTGTCTTCGATGATGCTATAGTCATCGCTGATGGAGAGGACAGTGGAGGGGAAAAAGATGAAGACAGTTGAGATTGGAAATGATGGAGCCATAGTTTTTAGTTTGTTTTTCATTTTTTGCTAGCACATGATCTTTTTTTTCTTCCCAATTTTCTACCATGTTATTCTCCCAATCAAAATACACAACCATGTTACATTTTATCATATACATGTATCCTCTACGTCACTTAATTTGGTCAACATTTTCAAACTAATAGTCAGCATTGATTAATTAAATGGAAGTAACATTTTTAAGCTCTTTTTGAATCAATATGGGTAATTTTAGACCCAACATTTTATTATAGTGTCTAGTGCTCTTTTTGAATATGACAATAGGTAAATGTATTCCTTCACCCTTTAATAAATTTAAGACATATATCAGTAAAATATTTGGGGCACATTTCAACACGTTTAATCTTAAAATATAGGACTCTTTTTCAAGATTCCAGTTTTTTTTTTAAAACCAATATCGCAAACTATGTCAAATATGCAAACAAACCTCACTTTTCCCCCAAAAGAAATTACATATCAGAAGTTCAAGCAATTATTTTCAATCAGGGACAATTATCAGCACTCCAAAAAAAGGATAAATTGCCAAGAACTTTAATGCACTATACATTCATATTCAGCGTCTCCTGCAATACGCCATTTACTGAAACCTAGTAGAGGCAAGAAGAAGAAGCCTAGTTAAGGAAATCATACTAGTGTGTATCCTCCAGTCCACTGAAGAGATTCTATGAACATGTATGACCATGATTTTTTCAGCATTATGACCAGACAATTTTATAGTAACACGATCAAAAATAAAGTACTCGCATGCCTTTGGCATTTGAACCATAGACTGCAACTTCCATTCTGATTTACGATATTCTTCTCGTTTTTTTGGTGAATAAAGAGAAAATTCAAAACTTAGAACACATAAACTCTCCTAGGATTTTCTTCTCATTTTTCAATAGAGTACATGCCAACGTAAAACTGGCTTGCTTTTACCTGTATAATTAAATATATGATACACACCTTGGGTAGGTGGGTACAGACACGTGATTATTTTTGAGCTGCGCCTTGTAATAACTACTGTGAGCATAGAGGACTCTGAACTACACCAATATTCACATTCCGCTTCTTTTCCGTATCTCAGTGGAAGATATATCCATGCGGAACTGTTCAGCTGGAATAGAGATGAACATGTCTTTTAGCTCCTCAGGAACATCCAAATCCTCAAGAACCTACAGCATCATAGAACGGTCTCACTGACATAGAATAAAAATATAAACAAAAAAGTCAAGATCAAAAATTAAAAATGTTTAGAAACAATGTTGCTAAATTATTATGCAGCAAGCACCTTGAAAGCACCTTCTACATTCCGACCACCCACAAGAAAGGTGCATCCTGTATCTTTACAACCACCGAGTATCTTCAACATCTTGTTGTAATCCCCGTCATAGTACTTAGGCTACATATCATAAAGAACATGAAGAAACTAGATAATTAAATTCATTACCAAAAAGGCACACTTGTTCCATAAAACTGAAAACTTGAGATTTAGGGAAATAAACTAACAATTTGGCCAATCTGTAACCCCTTCAGATACAATAACACAACACTAATGGGAAGGCAAGAACAATGGGAAACAAAAATCAGATATCTCCTGTTCTCCTCTCTTTATCTGTTTCCTCCATTCTTTTTCCGAATTTTTTTCAATCTACAATTTTATAATCTTTTTGGATATTTATGGTACTAAATGAACCTTATACTGTTTCTAAGAGGTTACCAAAAAGACCTAAAAAAACTTGTTACCCATCGGACTTATTATAATATTTCACCTTATTACCTTTGGATTACCCTAATTAAAGATTACATATTCACATCTGCTACATGGATCCATATTCATAGGCAAGTCCATATCTGTTGGAAAATATGTTCGACTTATTTTCCACCATTTCATAGTCGAAGCAAAAACAGATGCGCAACACAGCCACCAATCCTGATCAATTTAGACTACGCCATATTTTATATCACCCAATGTCTCAATTTTGTTCTCAGCCAAGATCAATATAACAAACCACGTAGTAGAAGTGCATGAAGTTGCAAGTGCAGTGCAAAATTTATTCTAGTGGTATGCTCATACATTAATAAGCCTCACTGCCGTGTCAGCACCAATTACAAAGGCACTGCCTGGAAAAAGTTCAGCCTTCTTATAAAAATAAGGTTGATTGGAAATTATTACCGACTTTCCTGCCAATGAAGGAGACAGTAACATCAGAACTTTAAATTATATGGTAAACAGCACTAAACAAAACACAATAATCTTAAAGCTCAGGTGTCATGACAGGATGATAGGCAAAAGCTAAAACACATAATTGAAATACATTTTTCCTTTTGCCAGCATATAAGAATATTATCTTTGAAAGAACATGTCATAGCAACAAAAGATCTCCGTACATCACCAAATGAACTTATTCTGAACTTTCAACGTTAACAAAACACATGACCCCTATTCACCAAATTTTACACCATAGTTATCTCCTCTCTCTGTGCGGCACTTGCATGAAACAATTTTACATCATTAGTTATCTGCTTTCTCTTTGTAGCACTTGCATCAGATGTAACATAAAGAAAAGCTAACCGGGAACAGAGAATCAATAATCACGCAAACACAACTTCAGCTGTATGCTACCAATAATATATACGGTAGGCCAAAATGCAAGAACCTTTCCTTAGACATAAAAGAGGAAATATAGTCCATCATTTATTAGCACATGAAGAGATATTTTATAGCAAAATTGCATCTAGAACTAAGCAACACTTCGTATCAAGAATCTCCAAGCATAAGTTAAATGAAGCTCACCAACTTTTTCAAACTGCTTGACACGATTCTTTATTTCAGACGCCGATAATGGAGGCTTGTCTGCATTAACTGCAGATATTTCAAAGCATGGATAGCCACCACCACAAATGCTGCATAGATGAGCTCTTAATGAGTGAAATATTAGGCTGAAATTAACAACAGATGCAAGGAAATTTGAACAGGCTGCCATTAAAAAGCAATCATAAACAAATTTTCAAAAGAACATATAATCTGGTGAGTTCAAGATCATGATAATATCAGTGTTAACTTCACACCATCGCTACCTTACTAGATAGATATCTGAAAATTATAACATTGACAACATTGTTAATTCATACATAAAAAAGAACAGCCTATTATAGATTAAATGTGTTTCTTTACACCATTATTTGCAATCTATTAATCAAATTAAATTATTTAAATTATTCAACAACTAATGCCAAGTTATATGGGCAAATATTAATGTCTCAAAGCTCAAAGTATATAATAATGTTAACTTCTGCAAGGCATATATTAAAATATATGCATATAAAAAAAATAACACAAATGAACTACTTAAATAGGGATAATATATTACATGGTTAATGTATTAGGTTGTTAAAATCAGCTACATAAATAACAATGACCATAAACGAGCTTGTTTACCCAGTGGCAACTTCCATAAGCTTGAGATGCCCATCGTGTAATGGATTAAAAGAACCAGGCAAAATTATTTTCCTTTCTGCTGATGCATTAGCTTCTGCCAAAAAGGGGGGGGGGGGGGAAAACGGAGAAAAAATGTCATTCAAATGTCAATTTAATTGTAGCTTGAACTCTCTTAAGATTCATTCTTCTAGAAAAATTGGTCATACCACTACAAAATGGATAGATTTTAAAGCATATTTGGCCATTTATCAGTTGTTCTAATTCTTGATCTTCATTGAATTGCTGTTCACATTCATCAGATACATCAGATTCAGTCAACTCAGAGATAGATGTTGCTGGAACTTTGCATGCGTTCGCAATTGCCTACAACCAGAACAGAGAAGAGGTGTAGAAAAGGGTGAAAAACAGGAGACAAAAAACAAAGATATTGAAAAGGATAAAGGATAAAAAATAAAAATAAAATAAAGGAATAAACTAAGGTTTCTCCCAAAATAGTAAAGGTGATTTTGTTGCTAAATATTTCCAGTCATATCATCTGAGAACTCCACTGTTTGTTAGGCATAATATGAAAACAAGTTACATAATTAAGTAAATAGAAGTAGCTCATCAGTGCACATAAATGCCAAACTAATATGTGGACAACTTCCCCTCACGCCAGCCACTCACCTTGAGTAAAAGATTACTAGAGACTCTTTCTTCTTCTTCTCGGGTACGCAATCCCTAAATTGGAACAGTAAGGAAAATAGATTAATTTAATTTAAATATGTATATAAACAGTATAAGTGATAATTATATTCTTAGGTTCATGATCAAAACAAAGAATATATAGAACATTCAGGTCCATCAGTACCTTGGCCAAGGTCACTGTTGACATCCACAACCGGTCAGCTGTTCTTGTTGACACATAAAACCTATAAATGAATATAAACGAAGAAGTTCAGCTGGGATTACATGGCCAAAAAAATCATACAACGAGGAGCTACATTTAGTGAGGGGAGAAAGCATGATCCGAAAAGGACCTCTTTAAAGAAGATGTGACCAATTTACAAGGCCAAACGTCCTTACAATATATTTTCATTGTCAAAGTGAATCCAAAGCTAAAATAGCGGTAATACACTTTTTCTAACTACACTTGATATCAGCTTGTATCGAGTCAAGATTTTGGAGCATTATTATAAATGGCCAACATACTCACTGCTGCAGATAAAGAAAAAGTAAAATATATATGATCCACACTGAAAGCCAAGAATTAAGCACAGCATGCCATTATACAACAACAAAAAGATTAATCTCTCCTGTGAAGCAGAAAATTATTTTCTCGAAGGAAAAAATTATCCTCACATAAAATGATTTATTACCACCTAACCTTTTTCTACCTAACCTCTACCCTCACTCAGATACAAAATTGTCCTTATTAATAATTCTCCAGCTAAGTTTTGCAAGACTAACTTGTAGACTTGTTCCCATCAAAATTAAAAGAATCTCCCCTACATGGAGTACCCTAATTAGATCAAAGTTCTAACAACTTAGGCCAACAAAGAATTGAACCACCAGTGGCAGTAAACCCGCTAGTTGGCAACTAACATTAATGCCAATTTCTGATCAACAGGTTACTCCTTTGAGAAGTGAGCAAATACGAACAAGCATTGAAAGCTTTGCCTAGGCTGAATCCCAGGCACATAACCCGTTCTGCAGATAACTCAAAAATTCTATATTACCTGTGTTCCCCATGTTTAGGACGCGTAGTAGCCAAAGAAGCAGTGAAACCCACACCAAGAACTGGGGATCCTGATGAGGCAAACCATGTACATATTTACAAGCAAGTCCAAATCATCCAATTCATATGACAGCAATTTTGCCATATCAGTCAGCAATAATAAAGAAGAAAGCGATTGGAATAGCGACATGTTGTCAAAACCAACTATCAAATGTTTAGAGGACCAAACAATGAACCCAAGAGGATAAGTTTTATTTTTATTAGCTGACCTGGTCTGGAAAGCTTAAGAGCACGATTGTAAGCCAACAAGGCCATCTCTTCAGCAGTCTGTTGGCTACAAAACTGAGGTGGAATCTGGAAGAACGAAGACAACAATAACAACGTTGAAAATTTAAGAAACATAAATTGGATCACTCAGACGAACAGTTCAAACACAGACCTTGCCAAGCAACTGGATCGTTGACATCCTGGAGTAAGGAATCACAGCTTCAAGCACCGTATTTGAGGCCCCAGGAACTGAAAGCAACGAACCCAATACCTGATCAAGTTCAACATGACTCCGATTACAAACGGAGTCAACATTGTCTACACTAACACAATCACAGAGAAAGAGAGAGGACCATCGAAGCTCCACCGGAGAGATAGATGACAGCCTGAAATGGGCTCGAGTGTATGGCTCCTACAACGGCTCGGATACAAACGTCCGTCATTATCCTCAACGGGTCTCTCTTCGGCGCTCGATGATCTCTCAGCGGAAGATAAATCGCTATAAAGTGCTTACTGCAAGCAGATTTGGAGTTGTTTGAATAAGAATAAAACCATAGTTTCAAGACGCCTCAGAGGTGCTTTTATGTTATATGAAATAAATATGTAAAAAAAATTTTTACGATTTAAAAAAAATGTTTCTGAAAATAATTTTGGATTACCAAACACTTTTTAGATTTGCAGACCTCAAACTTCTCAGGCCAAATTAGCAAATCATGATCAAACTCGAAAAGTCAAATGTTTTAGGGAGGAGTTAAGAGGGCATATATGCGCAGCACACGCATGATCTAAACGAGGCCGACTAGTTGGGTAACATTTTGCATAATTTAATTAAAGAGTTTCAATGGCCTAGTGGCTGGATTTTTTAAGATTAGGGCATTTTTGTCATTTGATTCTTAAAATAGAATTTTAATTTTTTGTTAAATAAAAAACAATTTTAATTTAGTCCTTTGCTCGATTTGATATTAAATTGTTAAAGAAGTTCTATAATAAAATTGACATTCCAAAAATTTCCTTGTATGGAGAGTATCAATATAAATTAATTGGCGGGTTTTCCCTAATTTGTGAGTGAGCCCAACTTTTTAATTAAAATTCTATCACAAAAAAATTATTTGTAACTCGTTAATGAGAAAAGAACACAATAAATACTTCATTAATTATATTACAAAATAGATCTTATATTTTAAACTAACAAAAACTCATACAAATGATCTCATATTATTTAGGAGGGAGTAAAAAGTTTTTGTTCACCTAGTAGTTCCAACATGATTATTTTTCATATTCCCACATTATAGGTATAATTAAAATTTTCAAACTTGCGCGTTTAAACAAACTCTTGTTAGGGATGTAAATTTGAATGATAAAATTGTTAGAATTTATTTTTATTAATAAATTGGTATTAAAATATATAATTAAATAATTAAAATGTAAAAATAATAACAATTTCATTTAAATATATTTGAAATTTAATTTATCAACGCTAATAATTTATCATAATTATTAAAGAAATTTCCATGAAATTTATAAATAAAGTTGCTAAACATAAATTAAATTAAAAAAATTTAGCATGAGTTTGAGAATGAATTGACTTGAATTTCTAAGCTAAAAACATACAAACAGTAAACTTGGTAAATGAACTTGTAAGTTCAACTGAATTTACAACTAATACGAGTTTAAGAGTAAGTCAACATGATTTTATAAGGTAAAAATATAAAAACATTAAACTTGGAGAGTCAACTAACAAGCCAATTAACATATTTGTTGATTTACCTAAAAACATGATCATACATTATTTTCAATTACGCATAAAGAAAACTTTTTTGTTTGTTCCAAACATGAGAAAACTTTTTATATCTATGCTTTTGTGACATTAGACTTCTTATATCTTTTATTAAATTGAAAGTTGGGTATCTCCATCTATTAGTTTGGATATATTTTTTAAAAAAGAAATCACTATGAGGTCATATAGAAAGAAAATAATTACTAAAAAATTTTAATAATAAATGAGAGTATTGATTTCGTTATAGTTTCTTATTTTCATTCACTTATTGCCAAACTTTTTAATAACTACTACATTTTTCTTGGAACAACATATTAATTTTTTCTTCTTGAAAATTACTTTTACATTTTATAAGACAAAATTACTCTCCAATAATTGATTTAGTCCCTCCATTCCAAAATATAAATAATTTTAACTAATTCATTAATATCAAAAAATGGTAGTTAAAAATGTGTTTTCAAATTAAAAACTTTATCCAAATTTATTCATGTTGAATGAGGTTATGAATAAGAGAGAAAAATACAATAAGTTATATTTAAACATTAATTACATGGATAAAATTGATAAATAAATATTAATTACTCTTCAAAAAACTTATACTTTAGATTAAGTTATTCTTCTAGAAGCGATTATATTATGGATCAGAGGGAGTATACAATACAAAATTACTTAAAATAAGTTAAATCAAACATAATTGAAATTGTCTGAGGGGAGTTTTTTCGTTCCATCATTACACATGAAAATGATTATAAATATTTTTACATAAATTGAAATAAATTTTTTTTCATATATTTATTTCGTATTTTATAAATTATGATTAAAAAATTATTTATAAATCTATCTAAACAAGTCAACAAATGAGCTAGAAGATTTTTTTTGTAGCACAGCTAAGGAAAATGCTACAACATTTATGATGCGTGAGCGCAATCCATTAGGCACATGCACGCGCACATATATACAAACATAAAAGCATGTATGGCGTGAATTATGAAATGCGTAGTTTTGAAAAGGTGAGGCTTTAAACAATACGATGCTGAGTGCTGGGGCTGTAAGGGGAAAAGCATGTGTGCCTTTTACATCACCGTTAAGCGGGTGTTTGGCATTCTTAAAATCATGGTTTTAGAAGTAACTTTTTGTAAAACGAGATAACCTCCTCCACATATTTACTTCGTAATCTGTAAAAGTACTTCTGAAACTATAGTTTGGTTTTTATCCAAACACTCCCTAAATATAATGGACCCTTCTAGTCCGAAAATATATACTCCTCCGGTCCTAATTATAAGACCCAATTGACTTATTTGAGGAAATTAAGGAAGTAAGTTAAGTTGGTTATTTATAATAAATAAGTGTTGTCATTCCTAAAATATCCTTGCTAATTAAGTATATGGTTAAACTATCATTATTAGAAGGATTATCTTGGAAAAAAATGCATAAATATAAGAGATAAAATGGGTTGGGTCTTATAATTAGGACCAAATAAAAAGTCAAATTGGGTCTTATAATAAGGACCGGAGGAGTATATATATATATAATGGACCCTGGGCTCCGTTCAATGACATTATTTCTCGCTTTGTTCCTGCTTTTCTTTACCTGAGGATCCCACTTAACTTCAACGCTACTCTCTTAAAAAAAATTTAGTTAAACATTTTTTGGGTATAACTACGATTCGTGATGAATTATTACTCATACTCTATACATAATACAAATTTCTACATATTATATACTCTTCCAGTCCTTAATATAGAACCCAATTATTGAGTTGGTTTTGGTCCTAAATATAAGATCTATTTATTATATTTATCAATTTTCTTTAAATTATCCCTATGGATATTTCCTCAACTATAATCAAGTAGAAAATAGAGAAGGGGTATTAAAAAAGATGATTATGATGTTTTAGGAAAAATGTGTTACTTTTCTTATAATTAACTAATTTACCTAACTTTCTTAATCTAATCAAATTAGTTAAATGGGTTTTATATTAAGAATAGAAGGAGTATAGATATATTTCATTTATATGAGAAAGGACTCGAGTCGTTAAACCTGGAAATCACATAAATAAGTTTTGTCATTTTTTTCATGCTCGTTGCTTGGGATTGAACTAAAGTTAACTATCTGTGCCAGAACTCGTTGGTTTAGATACTCTTTCAGGTCCTTAATATATATGTGTGTGTTAGTTGACAAATTCAATTTGATAATAAATGTAATATTTTAATTTATTTTGTCTCTAATATTTATTTATTTTGCCATTAAATAATCCATATAATAATTGTTTGACCAAAAAGATCTTTATAACATTTGCACGTGTTAATGAGTAATTCAAATGCATATCATTAATAAAGATATTTTAAACAATAACCTTTGTTTATTACAAATAAATTATGATAAAAATAATTTAACTAAATTTTTTAATATTCATAGATTAGGTATCCAGTTCTTATATTCAAGATATGAGGTAGTATATATAATATTTCTTCATATAATTAATAATTAATAATGATCATACATATTACATGGGGTGTTTGGAAAATCCTATAATCAATTAATTTTTTTCCACCATAACTTTTTTTTACATAATTATCTTATATAGCATAAAATTTGAGGTAGTATATATATTATTTGTTCCTTTAATTAATAATTATCATACATATTACATAGGGGTGCTTGGAAAATCCTATAATCAATTTTTTTTTACGTTTCACTGTACAAAACTCTTTTCATATAGTTATCTTATGTAACATAAAATTACTTCAAATAAACTAATTTAAACACAGAATAGATTAAAGAATGGATAAATTAATAAATAAAAAAATTCTTAAAAGGAAGTTATTATCTAAAATGTTGCAAATGACCTAGATGATATGGCGAATTTAATTACCATAAAATTCATTAATAAATAAAAAGCAAGTAATGATGAATTTCAGAATAAGAAATAATAATAGATTGAGGTTGGTCACTTGTTGTTTAATAATTAATTTTTTTTAAGACTTCTCCATAATTCTTCCTAAATAATATTATGTGGACTATGGTATATTGTTAGTTTTTTAACTTTATATAAGGTTTTACTTTGGTCCCTTAATTTTAAAAAAATAAGTTTTTAGTCTTTTAACCTTAGAACTGTTAACAAAAAACAATGATGTTGAGTTTTTGAATGTTGATAAAACATTACTAAATACTATAATATTAAGTTTAATTTTCAAAATAACCATGATTGTTACAAAAATCATCATTTAATATTAATAATTTTAAGGTTAAAGGACTAACAGTATGCTTTTTAAAATTAAAAAATCAAACTAAAATCTTATATACAATTAAAGAACCAAATGTATATTTTAGCCTATTATGTGGTTTTTGAGATTACGTTTGGTACAGAATATTAAAAATAAAAGATAAAAATTATTTAGTATAAATAATTTTTTATTATCTAATCCTATATAAATGAAATTGAGGAATACTACGTCTTCCATCCAAATCCACAAGGCAAGGGAGCGGTATAAAAAGAAAAAAGGTAGAATTGAAAAAGGAAGATGAAAAGACAGAGCACGCGCGAGAGAGAGAGAGAGAGGTTGTTCCCAGTTGGACCGAGTAGGAAAAGAGGACACCTAGGCCTACACTTTCTCAAATTTACAAGTAGGCCCATCCAAATATACTATTTCCTACATACGGCCCACGGGCTCTTCTTCTGCGGGTGCGGGTGGGGGTGGGTGTCTCTCAAACAGCTAATCACGCACCTTCACCGTCACACTTCCCGTCCAAATTTATCGCTCGCTTTTATTCCCGTTTCGTGATATTTACGATTTCCCAACGTCTATACCTCATCTTAAAATAACATATTTTATATTTATTATCTATTTCTTTTTTTTATTTATATGCCTCAAAAATATTCATATTAATGTCAGTACATATGATTATAAAAAATAATTTAAAAAATTTAACACATATTTATTATAAATAACAAATTTAATTAATTTTTTTTAATTTGAAAAATTTTAAGAAAACACTTTTTAAATTTTAAATCAGTTTTATTTACTATTTTGCTAGTTCTAAACATAAGACTCTTTTTATAGTGTAATTTAACATATGTTTTTTTGAATTTTTCCCTCAAATTTGTTATTTAGTTTTTATATTAATTATTAGAGAAAATCATAATAATAATAATAATACTCCTCCGATCCTTAATATAGGATCCAATTGGTGAGTTAGTTTTAGTCCTAAATATAAGACCCATTTCTCATATTTATCAATTATCTCTAAATTATCCCTATGGATACCCTTTCAATCATAATCAAGTAGAAGAGAAAGATGAGGTATTAAGGAATATGATTATGATATTTTAAGAAAAATGTGTCATATTTCTTATAATTAACTAACTTACCTAACTTCCTTAATTTAATTAAATTAGTTAAATAGATTTTATATTAAGTACGGAAGAGTAATAATAATACACATGGTGATGGTACCACAATTCTCTATACACACGGGCAAGCCGGAAGTGCGACAAGCAGAAAACCTCACAGCATGTCGTGTTGTGGGGACCAGTAAAAAGTCATTAATTCTTAATTTGGTGATTACTCATAGGTACCGTATGCAACTGCAAAGTCGTATTTAGCCATCGGTCTGCAAAATTTATTATTTTTATGTTCTACTCCTCTTTAAAATTTAGAAATCAGTTGAGAAATTTATTTTGATTCTAAATATAAGATTTAATTGATTTTGTTTCAGAAATTTAAATTTAGTTTCCCAAACAACAATATTGATGGCATATAATGAGGTGGCTTTAAATCAATGAAAAAAAGTTTCTAATATAAATGAATGAGGGATTTGAAAAAAATAAATACATATTTATTATAAATTAATTAATTAATTTTTTAATTTTTATAAATTAGTTATCTTTTCGTAGGACAACACGCCACACATTCATACTTCACACACTCACTTAGTGGTTCTTGGCTTATCCAACACTTCTGTATAAGATTGAAGGTAATAACTAATTTACATATATTAAAAATTAGTTAAATTAATTTTTTATAATGAATATGTCTTGATTTTTCTTAAATAACCTATTTAATCACTTGTATTAGAACCATCTTTTTATAAAAATTCTCTTAAAATGTCCCACCAATTGGCATGGTTTAAAAAAATTATAAATTTTTGAAACAAATCGGATGAAACTCTTATTTATAATCACCATAAATTTTCTAACTAGCTCTCACATTTTCAGATGAGAGGAAGCATATATTTAAATGTTATGGCTGGTCAAAAAAAAATGTTATCATGTATAGTAATTGTTTGAAAATAGTAATACATGTACAAAATTAATTAATTAAACCCAGCCTCACATATATACAAGGACATTATGGCGTGAGTTTGTACTAATTTTGGCAATATGCTGAAATACTTGGGTTGAGGAATTTTAATTATTTATTCTCAATCAGTTTGAGATTTATTTAATAAACTGATAACTAGGACCAGATGTGGAGAATGGTGATTAAAAAATGGAGAGCAAAAAGAGGACATAATTATGATGATGTCTCCCTAACGGTTCAGAAGCAAAAGCTTACATTCATCACTGTTCACTTTGGGGCAATAATCTCCACAGATCAGACACAATTTTAATTAATTAATTTTCATTCCAAAATGATAATAAATATGTTGGCAAAAAAAGATTATAAATAGTTAAAACAATTTTCACCATCTTACATTAGATATTTTGATTTAAAAAAATAAAATATTTGGTTGACATATATGTTCTCAAAATAGAAATAAAAACAAATAAATCCAGATAACACATATTGGGAAAAAATTTTAGTTTACTTCTTTAATTTAATAAAGTGTTTTTTTCCATTTTTCTAATATTAATACCGTTAATCTAACATGACGATTTTTTGTACTGATCATTGTTCTTTTAATTATTCAATACAGTAGTATTTATAGATTTTTTTTAAATTCATGGAAAAATATTAGAATTAGATCCCGTAAAAGAAGCTTTATGAAGTTAAGGAAAAAGAATTTTGTAGAACTTTTAATTAATATATTATTAATAATACTTTCTTTCCAGGTGCAAATTTCAAAAAGATTATTTGCTAATAAAATGTTCGCCACGAATATTAAAATTAAAAACCGCGTAATTATTAATTCTCTGTCTTATGTTGAAAGAAGGACACGTGTCTCATATTCATCTTCTTGGTCTTGGTCTTTCTGCCAAGTCAACTGCTATGTCGCAGAGCTACAACCAAACCTTAGCCAGTTATTGCTTGAAACAATCATGTATAGCCTCCACAGACTAAACTCGTTCTCCACCAGTGAGAGTTTCAGAAGAAGATCATGGTTCTACCTGTTTATTTGTTCTTCTTCTTCTTGCTCTGCGTCCTCTGCCTTTGCAGGTTGCCCACCTTTCTTTGACTGTGGAAATCTAGCGAAGCATTTTATAGTGTAAATTACACTGTAAAATGAGTCTTATATTTAAGATTAGAAGGAGTAATTTTTATAAAAGTCAATGTAAATATAAATTACATTGTTTAATTTAACTTTTACCTAATTTTATTTTTCTAAAAGTTAGATTAAAAATAAATTAATTTTTTTACCCTCAATGTAAACGGATCCTATAGTCACATGAGCTTTTTCAAAATTTCTGATGCATTCCAGGACCATGACATGCTTTATAAAACGTTGACTCAGGGTCTTCCCTCTACCATTCACGTTTCTGCTATTAGTTTCACACTTGTACTGTTGTTTGTTCGGCTTATTTAATATACGATATTGGCAACTTTGAGCATAATTAATTAGGAACCAAATATTAGTATTGATAAGAGAGGGTGTGAAGCAAATTATTGACTTGTTTGGCATGACGTTTGAAATGAATTATAAACACATTACACATAAATCACGATGAAATTCTTTTCTTGTATTTTAAAAATTACTATTAAAGAGCTAATTGCAAGTCATTCTAAACTGGCCCTATATTGAGCAAAGTACGCGTCTCTCACATTCATCTTCTTGGTCTTGGTCTTTCAGCCAAGTCAACTGCCGTGTCACAGAGCGTGGACTTGGGTGTTCCGCGGGGAAAGAATGGCCACCCTTGATTCCCCAACTCGATGACACCATCTTCAAGTAAGTTATTACTTGAAATAATCAAAGTTTCATAGACTAAACTTTTTCTCTCTGAGTGAGAGTTTCAGAAGAATGGTTCTACCTGTTTATTTCTTCTTCTTCGTCTTCTTCTTCTTCTTCTTGTTCGCTGACCTTGTGCTTCCTCTATCCTTTGCCTCTGGAGATTGCCCACCTTTCTTTGACTGTGGGAATCTAGGGAAGCTCTCCTTCCCTTTAACCACTTCCCAACGCAAAGACTGTGGAATGTTGCCGATTCATGGCTGTGAAGACCCCAACGCTCAAAAAACTGTGCTCTTTGGGAAAAAGATGTTTCAATTGACAGGAATAGACAGTTCCAATATTCTATTTTTCGTTAGAGACGCAGATTTACCGAAGCGTTTGGTAAATAATAGCTGTGATGCCTTGTGCTGCAATATTACACTTCCTCCTAACTCACCCTTGGGTTCGTTTTACATAATTCAACACATAACAACCTTTTACAAATGCAATATCACGCTCGAAGTTAGCGCTCCAAAGCAATTCTTGAACTATACCGGATGTGGTAAGAGTAACAATGAGATCATCTTCTTCCAAGCGCAAGATGAAGAAGATCCTCCACCTGCTTTGGCAAGATGTCCGAGGGTTCGGGTTCCAGTGAATTCCCTGGCTTTCTCTGCAGATTTATCCACATTAATAGCTTCTGAATTTGCCGTTACAATTCAGCTTTCTCTTGACTGTAGTCGATGTGTTTATGACAAAGGCTTATGCCGGCTCAACAGCTCCGGAGGATTTTATTGTCTCAAATTCAAGGTATGCATAACAAAGTAGCATGTTAAATTTACTCATTCTTTTTCAGAGACTCGTTTTTATGCCTGTGGACTATCAAACTAGCTCTGCTTATTCTTTTACTCTTTTTTTTTCCCGGTGGTAAAAGATGAAACTGGGACTGAAGATCAGTATCATAGATGGGCTTGGAAGCTGGGATGGATAATAGGTAATTTTTACTTCATTTTACTCATTTTCAGCTATCTCCCTTTGCTGACATAATTATTTAGTTATTAATTATATTTTTAATTTATATATAGATGTAATAAATTCTAAAATAAAAAAATTGTATTTTAGATTTCTTTTAAAAATTTTCATAATTGCAATAATTTGTAGAATAAAATAATTTGTTGTCTATACTTGTGTATAATTGTAATTTTAAAATACAACAAGTCATTGTTTATTTCTATGGTATAACCGGTAAAAATATCTTGTGAATTGCACCAGAAATTAAACAAAATAGAATTATTTATGCTTCTAAAACATCTAGACAGCATTACATTTTGTGAAATTACCACTAAAAACATAAATCCACATATTGTTCCAAGTACTATTATTTTTGAAAAATTACCAAATTAGTATTCATTAAATATTTAAATTTTATTAATTTTTATTATTGTTTGGTTTGAGAAAAACAGAGGAGAGATTAAAGATTTTAATGAAGTTCTTTTCCCATTGGACTAGACATCCAAATACAGACGCGAAAACATCACCGGACAGATAGTGCCATAAATAAGTGAAGTAAAATTTGATTATGTTTAAGTTGACCCTGATGATGAATACAGATAGTAGGAGTATTTTTAAAATCATTATTGGTAAATACTAAAATTAGGTGGTTGCCGTGATCCCGTGGATAAAACTCGAAGTTTCTGGTATACTGTGTCCTTTTGTGGTTGTGGGAACTTCAAGGTAGAGGGCAAAGACCCGACCCTTATTTTCCTGTCCACTTTTCCAAATCTTGATCCTGGTCAGTGTCCGAGTCAATGAACATAGTAAGCAGCCAGATTCATTCTATCATTATTAACACAAAAGATTAGCCGAAGATAATGTTTGTGTCATGAATATCCATATATTTTGGCTGCCAAAAAGTATGAAATCTTTATACAGGTACAAGAAATCTTATTTGATGACGAAAGAGCACAACAAATCTTATTTTAATTGGCTGTATTCGTGGCTATTATAATCCTAGAACTAATTAAAGTTTCAAAGCTCTTCCTCTAATTATACAAAACTAATTCAGTTACTTGTAAATATTGTTCGTTATGTATATTTTTCCTTCTATGAATATAACTCTCATCAACGAAATGCAAGTTATTCCATTTCACCAAATTCTGTCACGTGGCATATATGTAGGTGTACCAAGTGCAACTGTTGTGATTATAATTGGTTTGGTTGTTATTCTATTGCGGAACAAACGAAGACACAAGTCTTTGGGCTCACAAAATCAGTCAAGAACCATTGAATCTGATAATACTCACTCAAATGTAATCCTAGAAGGTAGACACATCTACTTTAAGTTCCCTGTCTTCTCCTATGAGGAACTCGAAGAAGCAACAAACAAATTTGATCAATCAAGAGAACTTGGAAGTGGAGGTTTTGGAACTGTTTACTATGGTAAGCCGCCTTAAAAATATTCATTCTTACATAGTTGAATTTTGAAGTTATATTATTGTGTTTGGGGAGATGCATTATTAACTTGTGTTAGTGTAGATGTTGATGAAAAGGTGTTGGTTTGATTTTAAACGACTAGGAAAACTTAAAGATGGACGAGAAGTTGCTGTTAAGCGGCTGTTTGAGCGCAACTCATGTGTACAGCAATTCATGAATGAAATTAAGATTCTAACAGGCTTGCGGCACAAAAACCTTGTGTCACTTTACGGCTGCACTTCCCGTACCAGTCGTGAACTGCTCCTAGTCTACGAATATATTCCAAATGGAACTCTTGGTTGTCATCTTCATGGAAATCTAGCAAAACCTGGTTCACTACCGTGGCCCTTGAGGATGAGGATTGCCATAGAGACGGCAAAGGCATTGTCCTATCTCCATGCTTCTGGCATCATTCACCGGGATGTCAAATCCAGCAACCTTCTTCTAGATCACCATTTTTGTGTCAAGGTTGCTGACTTTGGTATTTCCAGATTATTTCCCATGTTTGTGTCTCATGTCTCCACGGCTCCAGCAGGAAGCCCAGGTTATTTGGACCCCGAATATTACCAATTCTGCGAGCTTACTGAAAAGAGTGATGTTTATAGTTTCGGAGTCGTGCTGATTGAGCTCATATCTTCTAAGCCAGCTATCATTGTTACAAAGGCCAAGGATAAGATTAGTTTGGCAAATATGGCAGTTAAGAAGATTCAGAAAAGAGCGTTTACTGAGTTTGTAGATCCTTCCCTTTGTTTTGAGTTTGATGACAAGGTTAAGGAGATGATAATTTCAGTGGCAAACTTAGCTTTTCAGTGCCTACAGAGGGACGGAGAGCTAAGACCTTCAATGGATAAAGTAGTGGAGTTTCTGCAGAAAATTGAAAATGGGAAGGATGATTATCTAAAGCACCTAGAGTTTCGTGATGCTGGGTTTTTGAACTAGGAGATACATACATCTCTCCCAACCTCACTACTTTTGGATGGAGCTGGATCATTGAACGATTCAATGCCACAACTCCCTCCCCGTACAGCATGATCACCATTGTGAAGTTAAAGTAGTTTTATTGTACTTGAGGGAGTGTTTGGTTAGCTTCAAAAACACTTTTAAAAAGTACTTTTATGTAAGTCGAAATCAAACTCCTCTTAAATAGTTGTTTCGAACTCTGTAATATAGTTCTTTCTATATTCTCAACTACAAACCTAATAAAATCTATTTTATATTTTAACCATTTTGACAATTATATTTGTTCGCTTTTATTTATTGGGTGTTTGTGATTACTTCCAAGAATCACTTTTACACTTTAATTGTCTTAATCCTCTATAAATTACATGAATGTGGGGTAGGATTATTAAGATATTTATGTTATCATGGGTCATTAACTAAAAAATTATTTGGAAGAACCAATATTTAAGATTGATAGCTGAAAAGATTTAAATGTTTTTGCATCGGTGGAAGAATAATTAACTTTGATTCCAATCCTTTTAAGATGAAAATTGATATTTTGAGCATATATATTTGACGGTCAAGTATATCACCTAAAAATATTTGAGGGATGTTTACCCAAAAAAAAAAAAGTTATCAAATAGTTTTAAATTTCTGATAATTAAAAAAAATCTATTTAACGGTTGGCTAATATAAACATCAAATAATTACCCATACTTATTTGATGGTCGACATATATAATAATCACTAAATAAGTCCTTAATCAACCTCTACGTACCTCATGTTACTTACTTGATGCTTTTCTGTTTAACCAACAACTATGGAGTGCCAAGTATGGCATTTTGTACAGTAATGAAATTATTTAAAGTGTAAAAAAATCTTCAACAGTGTAATATCAATTATTTCTGAGATTGAAGTTTAATATATCAACTCTCATCGGAAGGCATATTTGTTTAACTTCGATTGTTAGTTCCAATCTTAATATAGGATGTTAGTTTTAATTGTTAATATGAATTTCGTTTATAATATTATCTTAATACATGAATTTCCATTTGGGATCAAGTGTTAATTTGAACGGTTAAGTTCTATTTAAAGGTGAATCTTTATCAATTTTAATTCCATGTGTGGTATGGATGATGCAAATTCAACTTTCGCAGGGTCATACATCATGAATTTACTATAATTCATTATTTATTAATTATGAATGGTATCAATAATTTTTCACTTTCCCTTTCATGTAATGCATATGATTCCCTCTCTGGTGCTTCATTAATTCCTTTACCTTTTGACATCATTTACACTCACTTTTTGTTTTTGGCCATTCATTCTCATTATCCTTTTGAAAACTTTAAATTCATATTAGCGTGTTAATTATCATTGTGTGAGAAATTCCTTCATCAAGAGCATAATGAACTTATGACTTTTATTTCATACTTTTTATATTTTTCATACTTATTAGACACTTAAATTTATATAATATTGTGATTGCCAGTTATTTCTTTGATTTATTCTCTATAAACTGATCTTTATTTATTTGGCGATATTTGGACAAGTTTGGACAGGACCTAATGCATATATTAATCAAGTTCAAGAGCCTGTGATGAAGCACATTTTGTTGAAATTAAACACATAGACGTGTTCTCATTCACTTTCTTCATGGTTGATTTTAACATGTATAAATATATTTGGATATTTTTTTAAAAAAGAGAATATGGTTTGACTCTTATAATAGTGTGGGCCAATTGGCTTATGGTCAAACATTCCTTCCAACTTGCAGCTCCAAGTCAACTGCCGTATCCCATGCCCAACGTTCTGCCCTTCTGCGTGTTTGTACTGTAAATAGCTAATCGGCTCACTTCATTTCCTACAGAATAAAACCATGAAGTCATTACTTGAAACACTCTCATTAATTGAGACGCCAAGTTCACTTCTTGCTCTGTACATGAGTGAGAGTGAGCATTTCAGAAGAATGGTTGTGCCTGTTTATTTGTCGGTCTTCTTCTTCTTGTTGTTTTCAGACCATGTGCTTCCTCTCTCTTCTGCTTCTAGAGATTGTCCATCTTCCTTTTGACTGTGGAAATCTGCGCAAGCTCAGTTTCCCCTTCACCACGCCAAAGCACAAATGTGGAATGTTGGCCATTCGAGGTTGTGAAGACCCTAATCCCAACAAAACTAAAACTGTGCAATTCAGTGGAAAGGAGTTTCAAGTGAGGAGATTTGATGGCCTTCATAGAATTAGAGTTATCCTCAGAGACAGAGCTTTACAAAATTATTTGGAAAATGATGACTGCCATGCCTTGTACTGCAATATTACTCTTCCACCCAGCTCACCCTTGGGTTCCTTTCATATCTTGCCAAATTTAACCATGTACAAATGTAATAGTTTGCACACTTACAGGGTTTCAAAGCAATTCTTGAAGTATACAGGATGTGGTAAGAGTACTAATGAGACGATCCTCTTCGGAAAACAAGATCAAGACGATCCTCCACTTTCTTTATATGTTCAAGGGTTCAGCTTCCAGTGAATAAGCTGGCTTTCTCTGCTGATCCCTTTACATTCATAGCCTCTGAATTCCCCGTTAGCATTCAACTTTCTGAAGACTGTTTTCGTTGTTTTGATCACAATAAAGGCATATGCCATCTCAATAGCACCGAAGGATTTTATTGTTCCAAATTCAAAGGTATGCATATTAACTATAAACGTAACTCTGCTTATTTCATTTTCTTTCTATTCTAATCTAATGAGCTCCAATACTAACTAGTCCATTTAATATTTGCTCCTGATAACTACGCTAGATGATCAGGAAAAAAGATGGGCTTTGATGCTAGGATTGATCATAGGTAATTTACTTCATATTTTCTGTTTTCATTTTCAGCTATCTGCTTTCCAACATAGTTATTTAGAAGCCTGTATTACTACATATATTATTATAGGTTGTTATCAAGTGTAAAATGCATTCACATTATGAGGTTCCCAAGAAACAATAGGCAGAAACTTCGGGTGAAAAGTCTAGGACAACATTCCCTTTTCAAAAGGAAGAGATTTAAGAATTGATCTTGGACAGGTAGTTTTGGGATCATTGTATTAGCATTGGTGCTCGTTTTCCAGCACTACAAGCAAACACAGAAACATGTCAGCCTACAATGAGCGAGTCATACCCAAATGATGCGGATCCAGACAGTGGTAGACGCTTCTTCGGAGTCCCAATCATCTCCCACATGGAGCTTCAAGGGGCAGCCAAGAACTTTGACTCCTCCAACAAACTTGGAGATGGAGGCTTCGCCTCTGTTTCCTATGGTCATCTTATGAATCACTCTCATTTCTTTTAATATAATCTTGTATTTTGCAGTTTTGAACTTTAAGCTATTTCATTTATAGGGAAGCTTCAAGATGGGTGTGAAGTTGCAGTGAAACACCTATTAAACCACAACTACAGTGAGTGGAACAGTTCATGACCGAAGTTGAAATCCTCACTCGCCTGCATCACAGAAATCTTGTCTGCCTCTATGGCTACACTTCGCGTCAGAGCCATGAGGTCCTTCTTGTCTATGAATACATCCCAAATGGCACCCTTACCAGTCACCTACGTGGCAGCTCTGCAAATCCTGCATTGCTGACATGGCCTGTTTCAATCAAAATTGCCATAGAAACTACCAGTGCTTTAGCTTACCTTCATGCTTCCGGCATTATCCACCATGATGTCAAAACCAGCAACATTCTCCTTGACAAGAATTTTTGTGTTAAGGTTGTGGATTTTGGACCTTCTAGGGTATTCCCAGATGATGTGTCGCATGTTTCAACAGCACCACAAGGAAGACCAGGCTATCTTGATCTCGAGTATCACTTTTGCTTTAGGCTAACAAACAAAAGTGATGTGTAAAGTTTTGGGATTGTGCTTATGGAGTTGATATCTTCAATGCCAGCAGATAATATTGGAAGGAACAAAGATGAGATTGCATTAGGGAGTCTTGTAGTAAGGAAGATTCAGAAGAATGAATTTGAGGATTTGGTGGATCTAGGTTTGGGGATTGAGAAGGATAGTGAGGTAAAGAAAAAGGTGGTTGCAGTGGGAGAATTGGCATTTCAATGCTTGTAGATAGATAAGGAGACAAGGCCCTCCATTGATGAGGTTTTAGAGATTTTAATGAAAACTGAGAATGGGCAAAAAGAAGACAAGAATGCAGGGGAAGATGGTGATGGTGGTGAAATTTTAAACAATAAAGCAGACATACATGCAAGACCAGTGACTTCACTAAGCTTTGTTCAGGCAAAGTTGTTCAAGTCAGCAACTTCACAAAACAACGCGATTGAGAGATGGGGAAATGGAGAAGTTGATTAGGCAAAGTTGTTTAGCATCTCATCTCTAAGCTTTCTATAATTTATGGTCCCTGGTCCATGTTTTGCTGCGTTGGAAGCATCGTTGTATGTTATTCCTCATCCTTGCCCTTTCAAGCCAAAAATTAAGTGATCGACCATGAATATTTATATTAAACATGAATATAGTACAAAATTTTTGTATTCATGCTACTATTCAACATTTTAAAGCCTTCTTTGCTATTACAATTGAAATCACTTATAAGCACGTTTCACATAAACCAAAACAAAACTTCTCTCACATATATACCTCGTATTTTGTAAATTATGATTGGAAAGCTACTTATAAGCTATTCTAAACGGGCTCTAAATTATCTTTCTTTCAGCTATACGCATCAAAATTTACGCAGTGTTTGGTTTATTAAAGAGAAAGGGAGAGAGATATCTGTAATGTGTTTTGTCTCCCATATCGTGTGCTCTGTCTTTGGTTTGGTGTGTTTAGTTATCTTTCCTGATTGGTGTTCTGCTTTTAGACGCACTACTATGTTACCTTAAACACTGAAACATGTGGAACAACATTGTCTCTACCTGGTGTCTGTGGCATTATCCTCACCTTTAGGACACTTTTCTGGTCGTTTCTTCAACAAGATGGTGTTTCAGTGTCCAGGTTTGAGAAGATCAGCAATGACTAAACTGCCAGACGAAATAAAAAAGTGAACTTGGCGAATGGAAAACTACAAAGAAAGGAAAGAACAACAGAAGACGAATAATTGAGCACTATACGAGTTGTTTTCCCGACATATTTAAATAAGATACTACCCGATACTTAGTATAAAATCTCATTTGATTTTTATTTTAGTCATAAATATAAGACCACAATCTATTTTGTCTCTCATATTTGTTTATTTTTTCCCAAGATAGTTCTTTTAATAATGATAATTCTAGCCAATAAACTTGATTAGTAAAGATATTTTAGAAAAAATAATACATATTTATTACAAATAACTAACTTAACTTATTTTCTTAATATACTCAAATTAATCAACTAGTTCTTATATTTAAGACCCGAGGTAGTAAAATAAGAACTCACAATAACCATACTACCAAGCACACACCATTAAAAGGGATTGATAGACTCATTTTTGGGCTTGGTTCATGTCTCTTCAATACACAAATTTATTTTTGGCCATTCATCCTTTTGAAAACTTTATATTCATATTAGCGTGTTAATTATCATTATGTGAGAAATTCCTTCATCAAGAGCATAATGAACTTATGACTTTCATTTCATACTTTTTATATTTTTCATACTTATTAGACACTTAAATTTATATAATATTGTGATTGCCAGTTATTTCTTTGATTTATTCTCTATAAACTGATCTTATTTATTTGGCGATATTTGGACAAGTTTGGACATGACCTAATGCATATACTCCTTCGGTCCTTAATATAGAACCCAATTATTGAGTTGGTTTTGGTTCTAAATATAAGACCTATTTCTCATATCTATTGTTTTTCTCTAAATTATTCCTATGGATACTCCCTCAACCATATCAAGTAGAAGAGGGAGAGGAGGTATTAAGAAAGATGATTATGGTGTTTTAGGAAAAATGTGTCACATTTCTTATAATTAACTAACTTACCTAACTTCCTTAATCTAATCAAATTAGTTAAATGGGTCTTATATTAAAGACCGGAGAAGTATTAATCAAGTTCAAGAGCCTGTGATGAAGCACATTTTGTTGAAATTAAAGACATAGACATGTGTTCTCATTCACTTTCTTCATGGTTGATTTTAACATGTATAAATATATTTGGATATTTTAAAAAAAAAGAGAATATGGTTTGACGCTTATAATAGTGTGGGCCAATCGGCTTTGAACTCACCCACACACTTCCCGTCCAAATTTATCGCGCGCTTTTGTTCTCGTTTTGTGATATTTTCGATTTCCCAACGTCTATACCTCATCTTAAAATAACGTATTTTATATTTATTATCTATTTCTTTTTTTATTTATATGCATTAAAAATATTCATATTAATGTCAGTACATATGATTATAAAAGATAATTTAAAAAATTTGATGCATATTTATTATAAATAACAAACTTGATTAATTTTTTTAATTTGAAAAATTTTAAGAAAACATTTTTTGAATTTTAAAATTTTAAATCAGTTTTATTTACTACTCTTTTGGTCTTAAATATAAAACTCTTTTTATAGTGTAATTTAAGATATATTTTTTTGGATTTTTTTCTCAAATTTGTTATTTAGTTTTTATATTAATTGTTAGATATGATGATGATGATGATACTCCCTCCGTTCCTTATTATAAGAGACAAATAACCGAATTACATTGATAAAAAAAGCAGTTAAAATTAGTTAAGAACAATCAATGTGTAAAAAATATAATTTTTTTTTCAAAAATACCTTCGTTAATAAGGAGAGAGAACAATTAAATTATTAAAAGAAAGAGAAGTGGGAAGGAGAGAGAGTGTGAGTTGGAGACAATAAATATGGGTAAAATAGGAAATCAACACAAAAAAATAGAGACAACTTTTAAGTGTCTCTTATATATAGGAATATGCTATAAGTATCAAATGTCTCTTATAATAAAAAACGGAGGAAGTAATATCTCTATTTTTATTTATAAGATTTTGTTTATAACCTATAAATAAAATCTTATAAATAGAAGATGCAATAGTAATAATACACATGGTGATGGTACCACACTTCTCTGTGCATACGGGCAAGCCGGAAGGGACCAGTAGCAAAGTTCACAGCGTGTCGTATTGTGGGGACCACTGAAAAGTCATTAATTCTTAATTTGGTGATTGCTCATAGCTGCTGTATGCAATTACAAAGTCATATTTAGCCATAAGTCTACAAAATTTATTACTCTTCCCGTCTTAAATATAAAACTTTTATATAGTGTATATAAGAATTTTATATTTAGAATTGGAGGAATATTTTTATGTTTAAAATATAAAAATCAATTGAGAAATTTATTTTGATTCCAAATACAGGACTTAGTTGATTTTGCTTCACAACTTTAAATTTAGTTTCCCAAACAACAATATTGATGGCATATAATGAGGTGGGTTTTCATCAATGAAAAAAAGTTTCTAATGTAAATGAATGAGGCATTTAAAAAAACTCAACACATATTTATTATAAATAAATAACTAATTATTTAATTTTTATAAATTAGTTGTCTTTTCATAGGACAAGACGCCACACATTCATACTTTACACACCCACTTAGTGGTTCTTGACTTATAAATTAGTGATGCAATACTTCTGTATAAGATTGAAGATAATAACTAATTTACATATGTTAAAAATTAGTTAAATTAATTTTTTATAATGAATATGTTTTGATTTTTCTTAAATAACCTATTTAATCACTTGTATTATAACCATCTTTTCATAAAAATTCTCTTAACATTCCCACCAATTGGCATGGTTTAAAAAAATTATAAATTTCAGAAACAAATTGGATGGAACTCTTATATTTATAATCAACACCAATTTTCTAACTAGTTCTTACATTTTTAAATGAGAGGAAGCATATATTTAAAAGTTATGGCTGGTCTAAAAAAATGTTATCATGTCTAGTAATTGTTTAAAAATAGTAATACATGTACAAAATTAATTAATTAAACCCACCCTCACAGATGTATAAGGACATTGTGGCGTGAGTTTTTACTAATTTTGGCAATATGCTGAGATAGTTGAGAATGTGTGCGTCTGGAGCACCACCTCATTTGTACTCTGGCTAATCAGAATATAACAACTCACAACATTTTAATCTTAGCTGGCTGCCAGATCATCTCTAATTATTAAGCAATTAAGATTTTAATTAAAATAATAATTATAAGAAAAACTCTCGGGGATTTTAACTTGCATCAAGAAACTTCAAATTCAAATTTCCATCGAAGAACCCTAGCCTCTACATTTAACGATCGTCCTCTTCCGTTGCTCTGCAGCCAACACTCTTCTTCGTCCACGAATCTTTGCCGCTCAACGCACTAGCCGTCGATTACTTAGGGAGTTGATTGTCGGTCTCGCCTTTGCCGGTAACTTCCTCAGCCCAATGGTTCCCTTATCTTCCTCTCCTCTCTTCTTTTTCTAATCCAACCTCACGCCAATCCCTTCCTAAATTATCCCCGTGATATTGTCGTTGAAGGATTGAAGGCCACAAGGTTAGGGCCATTAAGTGTCTGTGATGAAGTTGAATGAGGAATCAATGATGGTGCATTCTAGCTTATTAGCATTGGAAGGCCACAATATTCTCTTCTATTATTTTCTTCGATTTCAATTTGTTTATATATGTTTTAATTTGCTAGTTTATTAAGGTATGTTGTTTCTACCTAAAACTTCTTGATTATTTTATAATTTTACAGATCTAGTATTCAATCAAATGTTGATGATGGATAACCAACCTCTAGTCTTTGATATTCAATTTGGTCATTCCTCAATTTACGACCTTTTGGTGAAAGTCAGCTAATGGCACATTCTTGAACATATGGGAAAAAAGCTTTATAAAAGGATTTTGAAAATGCATCTTCATGTTCTGTGTCAATGCTGCTGATTGATATTTTTTTTCAATTGTTTGTGCACTCCAAATGATATTGTTGCTATAAATGCAGGAGGTATGCTGCAGCAATTGTTTGGATTAGATTGAAGTACATGTATCCAAGCAAACTTTGGGCAGGATTAAGGGACGAGATGGACAGAGAAAAATAACCGAAATGGGTCAAGGCTTCTGCTTAGCTGTTGTAGTAGTTAGGAGTGAAGGATTGATTTAGTTTCATTATTTTATTAGGGATGGACATGATTCTGCACATTTGGTTGGTTTGCTTCTCAAATGCTGCATTGCATCGTTCTGGTCCATCAAGATCATTGTATGGTTGATCATTTGTATTTTGTAAAGTAGCAAAGTTCAATTAATTGAGATGTTGCTTTGCTCTCCAGATTTGACACGACAAGAATTTTTGTACAGTTGTTCCCTTCACTTTTGGAACTCTTTGTTATGAATTTTGACATAACTATATCTGGGAGAAGAATCAACCATCAAAACACCAAATCAAAGGCATTCCATTGAAACAATCAACTGTCATGTTACAATACCAAATTAACAACATTCAATTGCAACATTACATAAAACATTTCTGGACAGCAAGTTACATATACTAAATAGTAACCGCCTGTTATAGCAAACTGTGCCAACAAACTAGCTAGTCAGCACCAAACTCATCGAAGTCAAACTAAAGTCATCATCCCCTTCAATTCTCAAAAGCTTTCCATATCAAAATCACATTGTTAGCCATTATGCCTCGTGTAATGAATGATTTCAGCAAGGCCACGTCCTCCTCTCACCTACCCAGCTTGCCATGGTGTATAATTCTCCTCCCCTGAAGTTAAAAAAAAAAGGTTTAACATTGATTGTTAATTACAATGAAAAAGCAGGGGCTATCAAGCCAGACAGCCAGGCAGACACTAGGTAAGTTTCTTTATGATCTACATAGACAACTCACTCAAATGGAATTTAGGCCTAAAAATTCTGCAAAGAATCAGAAACAAAATAAACATCACAAAATTTATGTGCCTGAAGTACGTGAAAAACAATCTAGATGTGCAGGTTGAATAGAAATTATTGCAAACATAGTAACCATTACTAGTAAAATGATTTCACATAAACAAAACAAGGCAGCTGAAATCACAAATATAGTTAAACTCACCATCCATAAAAACGCCTTGTAGAAGATATAAAGTTATAAACAATGATATTCGTTCAACGTCCCAATAATCTTCAAAAATGCAAGTACTTCGAAAAATAATAAATAAATTGAATCAAGTGCCTTGATGATATGTATGATTAGTCTTATCGCACCTCAGTTCATTATGAATTAAGTCAAATAACAAACATCTCGTTTCAGTGAAACTTCAAGAATCATAGTGAAATGATTTTTTCGGTAGAGGCTCTGGTGGTTGCAACACTCTAGGTAGGATTTCTAAAATACTTCCACGGTTCATACTTTTGATTTGAAGATAGAGGGACTGTAAAGGGGTTATTAAAAGCTTTGAAGATTGATTTTAAGTTAGGGTTTTGGGCTTTCAAACATGATTTCATTACTCACTTGTATCCACAAATCAAAGCAAAACATGACAAGGGGATCGTCAAGAACCTTCAGCCTTTAGGGCTTAACCATCGTCTCTAATCACAACACGGTCGCTAGGGAGAGGAAGATGAGGATAAATAGCCTCTTGTTCGATCAAAAATAAAAGAAAAAGGAAAGCACAACTTGCAACTTACCCACCGCAAACTCACCGAGAGACCTCCAGCCTTAAGAGCTCAAGTTTTGTCTCAGGTCACCAGGAAGAGGGCAATCGTCGTTGAATCTCGAATGTAGAGGACTAGAGGTTAGGGCTCTTCGATGGGAATTTTCTGACGCAAATTGAAATCCCTGAGTTTTTCTCTTAATTGAAATCTTAATTGTTTAATAATTAGAGATGACCGAGCAGCCAGCTAAGATTAAGAGCTTGTTTAGATTATCATTTGAAGACCCAAACGTGCTTAGGAATTTGTGAAATGAAGATTTGAAGCTCATTTGTGATTTTTTGCTTGTTTGGGTCATTGTTTTTTAAAAAAGCTCATAGCCAACTTATCACCCAATAAAGCCAACGCTACTTTTTGCTGCTTCTCCCCCCTTAGTATCGTATCTAATGTTTTTTCACATGCCCATCTTCTCCTCCACACACACCCTTTCTCTCTCTTCCCCCTTTCATGAATAATAAAATCCATGTTAATATTTTTATTTCATTTTTAGTTGCTATTATTTTTATAACTAATAGTCTCTCCTAAAAAAAAAATTAAAACAATTCACTAATTAAAAATTATAATTTTTATTTTCATTTTCATTTTTATGTTTGACTCATCAAACTAAAAAATTATTAAAATTAGCTTTTTAATTAAAATATGACAAGTTATATTTTACAAATTTTTCAATAATACTTGAACTCCTTTTAAGTCATTCTCACAATTAATTTTAATATTTCTCTTAAAATTATTACATTATATGCATATAATATAAATATGTATTATTTAATATAATTCATATCTTTTTAAGTCATTTTACATCCAAACTTACTTTTTCATTAATTATCTAAACAAGTTTTAATTTTTTCAACTGACTTATTATAAGCACCTATCCAAACATAAATCGTATTACACTAACTGACTTTTATTCTAATTTCAGTTACAAAAGTCAGTTAGACTAGAACTCAGTTTTGCCCAACACCAATCTAAACACACCCTAAAATGTTGTGACTTGTTATATTCTGATTGGCTAGAACACAAATGAGGCGGGGCACCCGGTGTACGTAAGAATTTCTCGAGATACTTGGGTTGAGGAATTTTAATTATCTATTCTCAATCAGGTTGAGATTTATTTAATAAACTAATTATTGGGACCAGATATGGAGAATAGTGATTAAAAAAACAGAGAGCAAAAAGAGGACGTAATTATGATTATGTCTCCCTAACGGTTCCGAATCAAAAGCTGACAATCATCACTGTTCACTTTGGGGCAATAATCTCCACAAATCAGACACAATTTTAATTAATTAATTTTCATTCCAAAATGATAATAAATATGTTGGCAAAAAAAGATGATCCATAGTTAAAACAATTTTCACCATCTTACAATAGGTATTTTGATTTAAAAAATAAAATATTTGGTTGACATATATGTTCTCAAAATAAAAATAAAACAAATAAATCCAAATAACACATATCAGGAAAAAATTTTAGTTTACTTCTTTAATTTAATAAAGTAATTTTTCCATTTTTCTAATATTAATACCGTTAATCTAACATGACGATTTTTTGCACTGATCATTGTTTTTTTAATTATTCAATACAGTAGTATTTATAGATTTTTTTTTTCAAATTCATGTAAAAATATTAGAATTAGATCCCGTAAAAGAAGCTTTATGAAGTTAAGGAAAAAGAATTTTGTACGAAATTAAATAACTAAAAGTGCAGTTTTATCAATATATTATTAATAATACTTTCTTTCCAGGTGCAAATTTCGAAAAGATTATTTGCTGCGAATGTTCATCGAATAATAAAATGTTCACCACGAGTTGCGATGCTTATATATTAAATTAAAATTAAAATTACTATACAAATAAACAGCAATGGGAATATTAAAATTAAAAACCGCGTGAATTATTAATTTCTCTGCTTTATGTTGAGAAAAGGACACGTGTCTCTCACATTCATCTTCTCGGCCTTGGTCTTTCGGCTAAGTCAACTGCCATTTCGTAGAGCTACAACCAAACCTTAGCAGGTTATTGCTTGAAACAACCATATATAGTCTCCATAGACTAAACTTGTTCTCTACGAGTGAGAGTTTCAGAAGAAGATCATGGTTCTACCTGTCTATTTGTTCTTCTTTTTCTTGTTCTTGTTTTCTGACCATTCTGCTTTAGGAGATGAGTGCCCAGGTTTCTTTGACTGTGGGAACCTGGGGAAGCTCTCGTTCCCTTTAACCACTCCACAACGCAAAGACTGTGGGATGTTGCCGATTCATGGCTGTGAAGACCCCAACGCTCAAAAAACTGTGCAATTGGGGGAAAAGATGTTTCAAGTGACGAGGATAGAAGCCGGGTTGACTCCTAAAGTTGTCGTTAGAGATGCATATTTGGAGAAGCGTCTGGCAAGTAATAGTTGTGACGCCTTGCGTTCCAATATTACTCTTCCTCCCAACTCAATTTTGGGTTCCTTTTCATATATAACCTATGTACCGAATGCAGTACTCCACTCAATCAGAGTCTTTCAAAGCAATTCTTGAACTATACAGGATGTGCTAAAAGTAAGAATGAGACCATCTTCTTCCGAACGCAAGATCAGGATGAACCTCAACCTCTTTTAGCAACATGTCCAAGGGTTCAGCTTCCAGTGAATAAGCTGGCTTTCTCTCCTGATCCATTCACATTCATAGCTTCTGAATTCCCTGTTACAGTTCAGCTTTCTAATGACTGTGCTTCATGTGTTTCTGACAAAGGGATATGCAAGCTCAACAGCACTGGAGGATTTTATTGTCTCAAAGGTATGCATTACTTAGTACAACAAATGAGAATTTCTCTGGTACAGTTAATTTTCCTCGTTCGTTTTTAGATGGCCACATGTATGCCTGTCAACTCTGCTTATGTCTTTCTGACAACGGCTCCTGCCGTCTCAACAGCACCAGATAATTTTATCTTCTCAAAGGCACGCATAATAATTAAGTAACATGTTAAATTTACTCTATCCTTTTCCAGAGGCTCATATTAACTGCGTGCCAATTAATCAAATGGACTCTGCGTTTTTCTTTTGTGGTTTTAAATCTAATATTTTCAATTCCGATACTAATTTGTTCGTTTCGTATCTGTTTCTCTTAATTGTGGCGTAGATGAAATTGAGACAGAAAGACGGGCTTGGAAGCTGGGATTGCTAATAGGTAATAGATTAATTATTTAGTTATTAATTATATTTTAACTATATATAGATATAATAATTTCTAAAATAAAACAAATTGCATTTTAGATTTCTTTTAAAAATTTTCATGATTGCAATAATTTGTGGAATAAAATAATTTGTTGTCTATATTTGTGTATAATTGTAATTTTAAAATACAAGTCATTGTTTATTTCTATATTATAACCGGTAAAAATATCTTGTGAATTGCACCAGAAATTAAACAAAATAGAATTATTTATGCTTTTACAACATCTAGACAGCATTACATTTTGTAAAATTACCACTAAAAACATAAATCCACATATTGTTCCAAGTACTATTATTTTTGAAAAATTATCAAATTAGTATTCATTTAATATTTAAATTTTATTAATTTTTATGATTGTTTGGTTTGAGAAAAACAGAGGAGAGATTAAAGATTTTAATGAAGTTCTTTTCCTATTGGACTAGACATTCAATACAAACGCTAAAACATCACTGGACAGATAGTGCCTGGTGATTGCTCCAAAAAAAAGTGAAGTAAAATTTGATTATACTTAAGTTGACCCTGATGATGAATACAGATAGTAGGGGTATTTTTAAAATCATTATTGGTAAATAATAAAATTAGGTGGTGCCGTGATCCCGTGGATAAAACTCGAAGTTTCTGGAATACTGTGTCCTTTTTTCTTTTTCTTTTTTGTGGTTGTGGGAACTTTAAGGTGGAGGGCAAAGACCTGGCCCTTATTTTCCTGTCCACTTTTCCATATCTTGATCCTGGTCAGTGTCCGAGTCAATGAACATAGTAAGCACACAGATTCATTCTATCATTATTAACACAAAAGATTGGCCGAAGATAATGTTTGTGTCATGAAAATCTATATATTTTGGCTGCCAAAAAGTATGAAATCTTTATAAAAGTACAAGAAATCTTATTTGATGACGAAAGAGCACAACAAATCTTATCTTAATTGACTGTATTCGTGGCCATAATATTCCTAGAATTAATTAAAGTTTCAAAGCTCTTCCTCTAATTATACAAAACTAATTCAGTTACTTGTAAACATTGTTTGTTATGTATATTTTTCCTTCTATGAATATAACTCTCATCAATGAAATGCAAGTTATTCTGTTTCACCAAATTCTGTCACACGGCATATATATAGGTGTAACAAGTGGAACTGTTGTGATTATAATTGGTTTGGTTGTTTTTCAATTGCGGAACAAACGAAGACACAAGTCTTTGGGCTCACAAAATCAGTCAAGAACCATTGAATCTGATAATACTCACTCAAATGTAATCCTAGAAGATAGACACATCTACTTTAAGTTCCCCGTCTTCTCCTATGAGGAACTCGAAGAAGCAACAAACAAATTTGATCGATCAAGAGAACTTGGAAGCGGAGGCTTTGGAACTGTTTACTATGGTAAGCCACCTTAAAAATATGTATTGAGAGTTTCTTCTGTCAAAAATATTCATTCTTACATAGTTGAATTTTGAAGTTATATTATTGTGCTTGGGAAGATGCATATTAACTTGTGTTAGTGTAGATATTGATGAAAAGGTGTTGGTTTGATTTTAAACGACTAGGAAAACTTAAAGATGGACGAGAAGTTGCTGTTAAGCGGCTGTTTGAGCGCAACTCATGTGTACAGCAATTCATGAATGAAGTTAAGATTCTAACAGGCTTGCGGCACAAAAACCTTGTGTCACTTTATGGCTGCACTTCCCGTACCAGTCGTGAACTGCTCCTAGTCTACGAATATATTCCAAATGGAACTCTTGGTTGTCATCTTCATGGAAATCTAGCAAAACCTGGTTCACTACCGTGGCCCTTGAGGATGCGGATTGCCATAGAGACAGCAAACGCATTGTCCTATCTCCATGCTTCTGGCATCATTCACCGCGATGTCAAATCCAGCAACCTTCTTCTAGATCACCATTTTTGTGTCAAGGTTGCTGACTTTGGTATTTCCAAATTGTTTCCCATGTTTGTGTCTCATGTCTCCACGGCTCCAGCAGGTAGCCCAGGTTATTTGGACCCCGAATATTACCAATTCTGCGAGCTTACTGAAAAGAGTGATGTTTATAGTTTCGGAGTCGTGCTGATTGAACTCATATCTTCTAAGCCAGCTATCATTGTTACAAGGGCCAAGGATAAGATTAATTTGGCAAATATGGCAGTTAAGAAGATTCAGAAAAGAGCGTTTACTGAGTTTGTAGATCCTTCCCTTTGTTTTGAGTCTGATGACAAGGTTAAGGAGATGATAATCTCAGTGGCAAACTTAGCTTTTCAGTGCCTACAGAGGGATGGAGAGCTAAGACCTTCCATGGATAAAGTAGTGGAGTTTCTGCAGAAAATTGAAAATGGGAAGGATGATTATCTAAAGCACCTAGAGTTTCGTGGTGTTGGGTTTTCGAACTGGGAGATACATACATCTCTTCCAACCTCACTACTTTTGGATGGAGCTGGATCACTAAATGACTCAATGCCACAACTCCCTCCCCGTACAGTATGATGATGATTGTAAAATTAAAGTAGTTTTATTGTACCTGAAAGGGTGTTTGGTAAGCTTCAAAAACACTTTTAAAATGCACTTTTATATAAGTCGAAATTAAACTCCTCTTACATAGTTATTTCGAACTCTGTAATACAGTTCTTTCCATATTCTCAACTACAAACCTAATAAAATCTATTTTATATTTTAACCATTTTGACAATTATATTTGTTCGCTTTTATTTATTGGGTGTTTGTGATTACTTCTAAGAATCACTTTTTCACTTTAATTGTCTTAATCCTCTATAAATTATATGAATGTGGGGCAGGATTTTTAAGATATTTATGTTATCATGGGTCATTAACTAAAAAATTATTTGGAAGAACCAATATTTAAGATTGATAACTAAAAAGATTTAAATGTTTTTGCATTGGTGGAAGATTAATTAACTTTGATTCCAATCCTTTTAAGATGAAAATTGATATTTTTAGCATTTTCATTACTATAGTAATTGGAAAATCATAAAGCCATTTGAATGAGACCCTTAACGGTTACTTTAAAAAAAATCCAATGTGTATATTTGACGGTCAAGTATATTACCTAAAAATATTTGACAGCTGTTTACCCAAAAAAAAAAAAGTTATCAAATAGTTTTAAATTTCTGGTAATTAAAAAAAAATCTATTTAACGGTTAACTAATATAAACATCAAATAATTACCCATACTTATTTGATGGTCGACATATATAATAATCATTAAATAAGTCTATTTCATCTATTCGCTGGGTGGATGCAATTTTGCTGTTGTAATACATGAAACCTACATTAATTATTATTTTATTAACAAGTATTTTAGTACAAGTGTATTTGAGAAGTTTCTTCTTCATGACAATGGGAAGGCCACATTTTTGGTGGTGAATTATGGAAATAGCGAAGAAAATGAACATAAAAACAGAGAAGGAGAAGGAGAAGACGGCAGGGAAAGGAAGAAAGGTGCCAGAAATAACAAGAATATGAATCGAAAACGCGTTTTGAATATTCTAAAATCTGCAGAAACTCGTCAACATCAAATGCATATTTTTTTCTCCTAACTTGTCTTCTTTTTCTTCACTGGACTCCAATTATCCAGTCAAGTTCTTAACGTCTTCGACCACACATTAAGTTTAGATAATGCCCCTGGTGATTGCTCCATAAAAGAAGTAAAATCTAGTTATACTTGTTGACCCTGATGATAAAAATCATTAGTGGCAGATACATAATAAAATTAGGTGGTTGCTGTGGATAAAACTCAAGAGTTTCTGTCACTGGTCTTTTTGCCGTAGGGTAAACTTCGGTGGACGCAAAAGACCTTGGACTACTCAAAGTCATTCTAACATGACATTTGAGGAAGCTAAGTAAGAGCAGGTTAGCCTTATTTTCCAGGCCACTTTTCCAAGTCTTGTTCTAAGTCAATGTCCAAGTCAACCAGCGTAGTAAGCACTCAGATTCATTCGAACATTAATAACACAAAGGATTAGCCAAGGAGATCATTTGTGTCATGAGAATCCGCATACCTTGGCTTCCAAAAAGTTTGAAATTTAGTGTGGTTACTCCTGATTCTCTACTTCCTTTGCTTTGTCTTTGTTGTTTTCTGCTTCCTCTCTCAGTCGCCTGTCCACCAGGGCCTTTTTCCTGTGGAATTCTTGGGCATATTTACTTCCCCTTCGTTATTCCACTTGTAGAGAAGCGGTCATGAGTGGAGGGGGTGACAAAGGAGCGAGCGGCCGAGATGGTGGAGGGGTGTCGGAGACAGCGATCGAGGAGGGGGTGGGGAAGGAGAGAAGGAAGTGGGGATGGCGAATTCACCAATGGATTTCATTTTTGGGTCTAGGATTGGAGGTGTGAATGTGTTAGAAGGTGTGAAGGAGACAACACAACCGGTTATCAATTAGAGATAAATTAATTTTTGCTCAAAAAAAAAAGAGATAAATTAATAAGGGATAAATTATTAAATAAAAAAATTCTTACAAGGAAGTTATTATCTAAAATGTTGCAAATGACCTAGATGATCTGGCGAATTTAATTACCATAAAATTCATTAATAAATAAAAAGTAAATAATGATAAATTTCAGAATAAGAAGTAATAATAGATTGAGGTTGGTCACTTGTCGTTTAATAATTAATTTATTTTAAAACCTCTCGATAATTCTTCCTAAATAATATTATGTGGATTACAGTATATTTTTGGTCTTTTAATTTCACATAAAATTTTATTTTTCTTTTTTAACTTTAAAAAATAAATTTTGAGTCCTTTAACCCTAGAACAGTTAACAAAAAACGATAATATTGAGATTTTAAATGTTGATAAGACATTACTAAATGCTATAATATTAAGTTTAATTTTCAAAACAATTATGATTGTTACAAAAATCATCATTTAATACTAATAATTTTAAGGTTAAAGGACAACAATATGCTTTTTAAACTTAAAAAATCAAACTAAAATCTTATATAAAATTAAAAAACTAAATGTATTACGTTTGGTACAAAACATTGAAAATAAATGATAAAAATTGAGATTGAGATTAAAAAATTATTAAAAATATTTAGTATAAGTAATTTTTTATTATATTAGATTACACAATCTTATATAAGTGGGATTGAGAAATATCATATCTTCCATCCAAATTAACAAAGCAAGAGAACTGTATAAAAAGAAAAAAGGTAGACTTAAAATAGGGAGATGAAAAGGCAGAGCGCGCGCGAGAGAGAGAGAGGTTGTTCCAAGTTGGACCACGTAGGAAAAGAGGACACCTAGGCCTACACTTTCTCAAATTTACATGTAGGCACATCCAAATATACTATTTCCTACACACGGCCCACGGGCTCTTCTTTTGCCGGGAGTGGGTAGAGCTGGTAAAACGGGCCAACCCGCGGGTTGCGGGTTGGCCCGTGACGGGTTGTGGGTTGTCCGGTGCGGGCTCAAAAGGCCCGTTTTTTGGCGGGTTGGCATTTTGCCAACCCTAACCCGCCAAGGTGGGTTGGCCCAACCCGCCAAAATTTTTATTTTTATTTTTTTTATTTTTTTTTAAATTTTCTTTTTTTTTAAATGTTAGCAATTATATATAATACAAAATAAAAATACTAAAAATGATATAAAATATTAGAAACATCCAAATAAAATTACAACACAATAAAATACAAATAGTATATGATTGTCCAATTTTCCAACATGATAATACACAAGTTCACACTTTTTTTTTTCAATGAAACCAATGAGCAATATTGAATAACCTTATTTATCTAATTATTTCTAATGACAATAAAGTTTGAAGTAAAAATTTGCTTTACTTTTGTCTTTGTTATCTATTTTTTTTTAAAAAAAAAATAGGTGGGTTAACCTGCGGGTTGGCGGGCCAACCCACCGCGGGTTAGGGTTATGGCAGTGCGGGCTCATATTTTTCAGGTGGTGGCGGGTTGGCCAAAAGCCAACCCTAACCCGCCTCTTTTGGCGGGTTGGCGGGTTCGACCCGCGGGTCCAACCCATATTACCGGCTCTAGGGGTGGGTGCCTCTCAAACGGCTAATCGCACACCTTCACCCACACACTTCCCGTCCAAATTTATCGCGCGCTTTTATTCTCGTTTCATGATATTTACGATTTCCCAACGTCAACATCCCATCTTAAAATAAGGTATTTTATATTTATTATCTATTTCTTTGCTTATTTATATGCATTAAAAATATTCATATTAATGTCAGTGCATATGATTATAAAAAATAATTTAAAAAATTTAACACATATTTAAGATATTTTTTTTGAATTTTTTCCCTTAAATTTGTTATTTAGTTTTTGCATTAATTATTAGAAAAGATCATAATAATAATAATAATAATAATAGTAATAATAATACACTCGGTGATGGTACCACAATTCTCTATACATACGGGCAAGCCGGAAGTGCGACAAGTAGCAAAGTTCACAGCGTGTCGTGTTGTGGGGACCAGTAAAAAGTCATTAATTCTTAATTTGGTGATTACTCATAGGTACCGTATGCAATCACAAAGTCATATTTAGCCATCGGTCTACAAAATTTATTATTTTTATGTTCTGCTCCTATGTTTAAAATATAAAAATCAGTTGAGAAATTTATTTTGATTCCAAATGCAGGACTCAGTTGATTTTGCTCCACAAATTTGAATTTAGTTTCCCAAACAACAATATTGATGACATATAATGAGGTGGGTTTTAATCAATGAAAAAAAAAGTTTCTAATGTAAATGAATGAGGCATTTGAACAAAATCAATAAATATTTATTATAAATAAATAAATTATTTTTTAATTTTTATAAATTAGTTATCTTTTCGTAGGACAAGACGCCACACATTCATACTTCACACGCCCACTTAGTGGTTCTTCGCTTATAAATTAGTCACCCAACACTTCTGTATAAGATTGAAGGTAATAACTAATTTACATATATTAAAAATTAGTTAAATTAAATGTCTTGATTTTTCTTAAATAACCTATTTAATCACTTGTATTAGAACCATCTTTTTATAAAAATTCTCTTAACATGTCCCACCAATTGTCATGGTTTAAAAAAATTATAAATTTTAGAAACAAATTGGATGAAACTCTTATTTATAATCAACATAAATTTTCTAACTAGCTCTCACATTTTCAGATGAGAGGAAGCATATATTTAAATGTTATGGCTGGTCAAAAAAATGTTATTAGTAATTGTTTGAAAATAGTAATACATGTACAAAATTAATTAATTAAACCCAGCCTCACAGATATACAAGGACATTGTGGCGTGAGTTTGTACTAATTTTGGCAATATGCTGAAATACTTGGGTTGAGGAATTTTAATTATTTATTCTCAATCAGGTTGAGATTTATTTAATAAACTGATAATTAGGACCAGATGTGGAGAATCGTGATTAAAAAATGGAGAGCAAAAAAAGGACATAATTATTATTATTGGCCCCATTTAACAGAGCGGTGAAAATTTTCTATAAACTCGTTTCACGTAAGTCGAGACAAAACTCTTCTTATATACTTATCTCTTTTTCTGTAAATCACTATTAAAAGGTAGCTTATAAGTTGCTTATTAGCTGTTCCAAACGGATATGTCTCCCTAGCGGTTCAGAAGCAAAAGCTTACAATCATCACTGTTCACTT